GTCATTGTTGTTTTGGTGGGCTGGGCTGGATTCGAACCCACCACCTTAGGTGTATGTGGCTGGCGCCTTAGCCACTTGAGCCACAGGCGCTGAGCCCTCCTTGCTGTTCTTTGACCATGTCAGGCAAGCTCTGGTCTAGGCACCTGGTCTCTTTTCCTAGAATGCTTTTTCCAGGATACCCACTTGGTTCACCACCTCACCTTTCTCAAGTCTTGGCTCAGATGCCACCTTCTCAATGAGATCTACCTTACAGCGACTCTAACACCATAGCCCGTGCTCCCTCCCCTTCTTCTATCTATATATCTATAGATATACGTATATATATATTTTATAAAAGAACCCACTGGACCCTCATCCTTTTTTTTTTGCAGTTTTTTGGCCAGGGCTGGGTTTGAACCTGCCACCTCTGGCATATGGGGCTGGCGCTCTACTCCTCCCTCACCCTTTTTTTTTGAGACAGAGTCTCACTTTATTGTCCTTGGTACAGTGCAATGGCATCATAGCTCTCAGCAATCGCAAACTCCTGGGCTCAAGTGATCCTCTGGTATTAGCCTCCCAAGTAGCTAGGATTACAGGTGCCCTCCACAATGCCCAGCTATTTTTAGAGATAGGGTCTCACTCTGCTCAGACTGGTCCTGAAGTCCTGAGCTCAAGCAATCCCCCATCTTGGCCTCCCAGAGTGACTCTCACTTTTTAAAATTTTACTTTATTAAAATTATTTGTAGGGGGCAGTGCCTCAAGGAGTAGGGCACTGGCCCCATATGCCAGAAATGGCGGGTTCAAATCCAGCCTTGGCCAAAAAATACAAAAAAAAAAAATTATTTGTAGAGCCAGCCACGGTGGCTCATGCCTGCAATTCCAGCACTCTGGGAGGCCAAGGTGGGTGGATTGTTGGAGCTTTGGAGTTCAGTACCAGCCTAACTAGCCAGGTGTCATAGCAAGTGCCTGTAGTCCCAATTACTTGGGAGGAAGAGGCAAGAGGATTGCTTGAGCCCAAGAGTGTGAGCTGTGAGCTATGATGAGGCCACAGTGACAGAAACTCTGTCTCAAAAAAAAAAAAAAAAGAAATTTATCTGTAGAGACAGAGTCTCACTATGTTGCCCAGGCTGGTCTCAAATTTCTGGCATCAAGCAATCCTCCTACTTTAGCATCCAAAGTGTTGGGATTACATTTGTAAGCCACTGCTTAGCCCCTAGTTATATATTTTTGTTAGGAAAATAATCTCAAATTACTGAAAACTTACAAATACAATACAAATAGTTTTTTTTTTGGATACAGAGTCTCATTCCGTTGCCCTGGATAGAGTGCAGTGCCCTCAGCATAGTTCATTGCAACCTCAAACTCCTGGGCTCAAGCGATGCTCCAGCCTCAGCTTCCCAAGTAGTTGGGACTACAGGCATGTGCACCATGACGAGCTAATTTTTCTATTGTTAGTAGAGACAGGATCTCACTCTTGCTCGGGCTGGTCTCTAACTCCTGACCTCAAGCAATCCTGTCTCCTGGACTTCCCAGAGTAGTAGGATTACAGGGGTGAGCCGCAGATAGCATTTTGTTTTCAAGATTAATATAAGGGTATATACAATTAGGTTTGTGTTTGTGTTTGTTAGGTAAAGTTCGAGTTATCATTGAGTCCTTCACTCAGGAGGTGTGCCATATACCCCTACTTTGTACCCATTAGAGGGCAGCTTACCTAGCCCCTCTCCTCCCTTCCTCCCTCCACCCCTTGAATTTAATTTTGTTTTTCTCTTGTGTGGGCCTGGGGTTGTTTATCTACTAGTTTCAAATTAGTTTTGAGTACAGATAGCTTTTTTTCTTGATCTAGATGAGAGTCGACTGCAGACCTGATACCACATCTCCAGAAGGCTTTAGTGAGAATTTCCTACCTAGCCACAATACCACCTTCAATGTCAGAAAGTTAACACCAAAATTGCCACCATCTGACCCTCAGATCCCATTCAAGTTTCACTAGTTGTCCCAATAACACCCATTCTAGCAAAGAGATCTAGCCCAGAATCCAGCACACTATTTAGTTGTAGTGCCCTGTAGCCTCTTTCCATCTGGAACAGTTTCACCGTCTGTCCTTCATAACCTTGACACTTTTGAAGAATTTAATTACTTTGCAGAGTGTTTCTAAATTTGTATTCATCTGGTGTCTCCTCATGATTATAGTTTCGGGTTGTGAATCTCAGGCAGCATTATCACGGAAGGGATGTTGGCCTCTGCATTGCAATCTTTCAGGTAGCATTTGATTTCATTTTGTCCGCTTACTGGAGGTGGAAACCTCTCTCAGTTGTAGCTGGTATCCGCCAACCTTCTCCTCTGTGAGTCTTCAAAATTAATATTTTGTGGGAAAGTACTTTGGGACTATCTAAATATCCCCTCTCCTTTTTTTTTTTTTAGATAGAATCTTACTTTTTGAGACAGAGTCTCACCTCAGGAGTGTGCTGTGGTGTCACAGTTGACAGCAACCTCATACTCTTGGGCTTAAGTGATTCTCTTGCCTCAGGCACCTGCCACAATGCCTAGCTATTTTTAGAGATGGGGTATTGCTCTGGCTCAGGCTGATCTAGAACTCCTGAGCTCAAGGTATTCATCCACCTTGGCCTCCCAGAATGCTATGATTATAGGTGTGAGCCACTGTGCGTAACCTTTCTTTTCTTCTTTTTTCTTTCTTTCTTTCTTTCTTTTTTTTTTTTTGTAGTTTTTGGCCAGGGCCTGGTTTGAACCGGCCACCTCCAGTATATGGGGCCAGCGACCTACTCCTTTGAGCCACAGGAGCTGCCTGACCTAGCTGTTCATTATAACATTTTTATTTGTTGTTTGTCAGTAGAGTTCCTTGCATCACAGCTTACAGCAACCTCAGACTCTTGGGCTTAAGCAATTCTCTTGCCTCAGCCTCCCGAGTAGGTGGGACTACAGGCCCCTGCCACAATGCTGGGCTATTCTTAGAGACAGGGTCTCCCTCTGACTCAGGCTGGTCTTGAACCTGTGAGCTCAGGCAGTCCACTCGCCTTGGCCTCCCAGAGTGCTAGGGTTATAGGCATGAGCCACTGTGCCTGGCCCTTTTTTTTTTTTCTATTTTTAGTAGAGATGAGGTCTTGTTCTTGCTTAGGCTGGTTTCAAACTCCTGAGCTCAAGGGATCATAAATGAGATGAGTTCCCTTGTAATAAAAAATGGGGCCCCAGAGAGCTGCATTGCCCTTTCTACCATATGAGGTCACACTAAGGAGGCACCATCTATGAACCAGAACTCTCGCTTCAGCCACACAGAGTGTTAGGATTATAGGCCTGAGCCACCGTGCCTGGCCGTTGTCTTTAATATATTATCTGACCAATCCTCCTCTGTGTGTGCAGTCTTCCATTGTTGCTGCTTTCCCTGCACATGTTTCTCTTCGCTCCATCGTGGTTCTAATGCCCTGTGCCAAACCATGGCCCCATGGGCATGCCCTAGTCATTCCACTCGAGGACAGACCTTCACCTTCTGGATGCTCCCTTGGCCTGGACAGGCTCCAATGGCTCATGCCAGGTGGCTGCTCCTTTCCCAGCTTGGTCTCTGACGCTTTAGGATGCGTCACTGCTACGTGTGGACTTCCTCCTCTCTCCCACAGGTTCTGACTCCCCACACTGTGTGGCCACCCTCTCACCCCGCCTGGGTTTCAGTGCCCTACACTAGGCTACCCCTCCCCACGGAGGATTATCTTGCTCTATCATACCTAATGGTTTTAGGAGAAGAAGGGAAGGAGACAAATATGAAGAAGAGGGACCATGTTCTACTCTTCACAGTCCCAAAGCATTTATTGCTTTCATATTACTCTGCTAAAGCTGCCATATTAGGCAAGTGTGCCTTTGAAAGGTGATCCTGGGCTCGGCGCCTGTGGCTTAAGTGGCTAAGGCGCCAGCCATGTACACCCAAGGTGGCAGGTTCGAATCCAGCCCAGGCCCGCCAAACAACAATGATGGCTGCAACCAAAAAATAGCAGGGCATTGTAGAGGGCGCCTGTGGTCCCAGCTACCTGGGTTCCTGAGGCAGGAGACTTGCTTGAGCCCAGGAGACTTGCTTGAGCCCAGCAGTTGGAGGTTGCTGTGAGCTGTGATGCCATGGCACTCTACCCAGGGGGACAGCTTGAGGCTCTGTCTCAAAAAAAAAAAAAAAAAAGGTGATCATGAATGGGATTAGTGCCCTTGTAATAAAAAACTGGACCCTATGGCTCAGTTCCCATAGCACAGTGGTTACAGCACCAGCCACATACACCGAGGCTGGCAGGTTTGAACCCGGCCTGGGCCTGCTAAACAACAATGACAACTGCAACAACAACAAAAAACAGCTGGGTGTGGTGGTGGGCACCTATAGTCCTAGCTACTTGGGAGGCTGAGGCAAGGGAATCACGTAAGCCCAAGAGTTTGAGGTTGCTGTGAGTTATGTTGTACTCTACTGAGGGCAACATAGTGAGACTCTGCTGGAAAAAAAAAAAAAGGGACCCCACAGAGCTGCATTGCCCTTTCCACCCTGTGAGGTCACAAAGAAGGCACCATCTATGAACCAGAACACAAGCCCTTACCAGACAGCAAATCTATTGGCTTCTTGATCCTGGACTTTCCAGCCTCCAGAACTGTGAGGAACAAATGCCTGTTGTTTATAAGCTACCCAGTCTATGTTTCGTTATACATGTAGCAGCCCAAATGGAGTAGCCTAGGTCTGCAACATATGAGTTTGGGGGGACACAGTCAGTCCATAAAAGCCTTCTAACGAGACTTTCCACGTTGCTTGTTATGCTTATTGTTTATCATACCCCTCTGCCAACCCCTCAGTGTCAGCTTCTCACACAGGGATCTCATCTCTGGGTGGTCGCTCTGGCATACCAAGTGCCTGGCAGGGTGGCAGGAGGACTGGGACATCAATGCAGGGGGAGTGCTTGTGTCTGAGGGAGCTCCCCTGGGAGCCTCACTTCCACCCTCCCCCAGCTTCTCAGACCTCAGACCTCAGGAAAGAATCACGGGGACCAGGTACAAACAGTTTATTTTTCTATAAAGAGCAAAGTACAAAGGGGCAGGACGGCAGCAGGGCCCCATGGAGCAGCAGTGGGCAGGCCCAGGTGCTGGCTGCTACCCCAGGAGCGGACAGGGGCCTCCAGCATGTAATTACATGTGCCACACAGGATGAACAGGCAAGGCGGAAGCCCAAGAATGCTGCAGGGAGTCACACAAAGCCAGGTTTCATGGAAGAGCGGCGGCAGTTGGGGCAGCTCCGGGTCCCATTGTTCTGTAGGCACCTGGGGGGGCAAAAGGCTCTGTCCACTCCCCTGAAGCTGTTCTTCCACCTGGCCCCTGGCCCTGCTGTCTCTTCCTCCCCTGCCCTCTGCAGGGCCTGGAAAGTGTCCCGGGCCACTGTCCAGCCTCGGGCCAGGAAAGGGCCCCCTGTTAGTTTCCCCAGGCTGGTGCTGCATCTAGCTTGTTCCTTAGCCACTGACTGGCTCAGGGGCCTCCAGCCCAGTCCAGATGGAGCTCAGCCTCTGCCACAGCCCTGGGACAGGTATGGCCCAGGGGGTCAGATCTCATGACTTTGAGGGGCCTCTCTGACTTCTCTTTGGGGATTATGGTGACGATAATGGCCATCTCTAGATGGGCTGCTGGGAGGATTCAATGAATCAATATTCAGGAAGTTTTTTTTTTTTTTT